AGAAAATATTGAATATGACCGCAGTCACATTAAACAATAGTCATATTCGAATATGATTATAGTGGATAGATCTGGAAAAAAACAAGAATATCGAACTTAATGGAAAAAAACGAGAAGCTTAGCTACCTCTTCTTTGGTTTACAACGGAGGCCCTCCCATTTTTTGTGAAAAAACTCGTATTCGTTTTGAATCGCATCTTTTTTCTTCGAATTCTTGAGAATTGATCGGAACCACTCTTGCTCATCATCATATATTCTGCTATTCGTGATTCGCGTAACAAACAAGAAATTAATAAATCACTAATCGAGTGAATCGACAATAGTCATATCCGAACCAGACTATAGTCACGTTATGGCTGCTTCAGATCAGGAGAGAAAAAAATAGAAAAAGAATTGAAAAAACGAAAGGGATGGAGGGCGAGGCTACGACAACGACGTAGAATGAAAGAGAGGGTGAGGGAGGCGGCTACGGTGGTGTTGATGGACAGAACTGAAGAAAAAAACCCAGAGAAATCGAGAGATAACGAAAAAGGGGAATCTCCATGTAGAAATCACGAATCCGACGAAGAGCGGCGACGAGGTGGGGGAGGCACCGCCGCCACCACTTGTACAAGACGTCAATGTGGTGGTGTTGGACGAGGGGGGAAATGATCTCCAACATCGGCGGAGGACGACCTCCTGGATCGGGTTTCGGCTGGGCGACAGTTGAAAGGTATTGTTGACTCCGGTGGAGATGAGTGCACGAACAACGGTGGCTAGGGTGAGTGGACTACGTTAGTGGTATAAAATAGAGGAAGGAAGGCGGCGGCGGTTACAGATCTGCAGAAACAACAGAAGAAAAAAAAAGACTCAGAGAGAAAGAGAGAGATAATAGTGACATATTGTTGAATTTGAATGCCTATATAGTCCACTCATCTGTTGAGACAGACTACATGTTACGACATTAGGTGTGGTAACGGAATTCTTGTGTTGTCACAGTAACTAATCTACTAAAAGCAGAATAAAGAACACAAGAATTTAATGTGGTTCGGATACCAATGTACCCTACATCCACGAGGACTTGCAAAACTAGTTCAGATTTAAGTGTACATTAATAGGACTTAATAAAACACTAAAGACTCCCTCTTTATGTGATACGCCGTTCTTGCACACGACTCGAACTTGTTGATAATCAAAGCAATTCCTCCTCCGCACTCTTGGACTTCCTCCAATGTTGAACTTCCTTCAAATGGCGGATCGACCTCTCCCGAGATCTTTTAAGCACTTCTCCCGAAACGCCGATCTTCTTTATGGCCTGGTAGAAGAAACCTGTTCTGTTGCCACACCTGCCGTGCAGACAGGGCTGCAGCACGGGCTGCACCCTTCAAAGCCTTTATGCTGGGATTTTTCTTATTAAAGCTCCATCGGACTCATATGAGGTTGAGGGCCTTATATAGGCACGAAATCACCACCCTAAACCTAACTTGGGCCCTAAGAAATCGATTTAACTAGGTAATAGAATCCTAGTCGATTTCTACTTCTATTCTAGATAAGTACAAAAGATACCTAACTAGAATATAATACATGGAAATAAATCTAAGTCCTAATAAAAATATTACAAGAATAGGACTCTAATTAATTCCAAAATAAACATGGAAAACAAATCTTTGCCAATCTTTAATTTCCACGTATGGCGGATTTCTTCAATCTTCACTAACGGAAATTTGGTGCCAACAATCTCCCCCTTTGGCATAGATTGGTTAGAATCCATGTTTAACAAGAACTCCCCCTGCAGATGAGATTTACTCCCCCTGCAACAAAGATATCACTTTTCTTCACCCGTCTTGGTCTTCTATCAGAGTGTCCCATCACGGGGCACGTTACAACGCAGCGGAATTGGGTGAATGCCGTGACAGACTTCCGTCTCAACCTTCCTTGTGAACACACGTCATCCAATAAGCAAAGCAAACAAATCAAAACCCAAAATCAGACACTAAGTATATCTAGTGACCCGCTCTGATGCCAATTGTTGATTTATATGCCTATAGAAATCAATTAACCTAAGTTGTAACAGTTAAGTTGTGGAAACAGTATTCAGTTACAACTATAATTCTTGTGTTAACACAGTTATAAACTACTTAAAGCAAATAAATGAACACAAGGAATTAATGTGGTTCAGACACAAATGTGCCCTACATCCACGTGGACCTGCAAACACGATTTCACTAGTTCAGATTTACAGTGTACATTAATAGGACTTATTAAAAATACTAAAGACTCCCTCTTTATGTAATATGCCGTTCTTGTACACAACTCAAACTCCGCGTCTCTCTCTAGCAGCTCCACTCCGCGTGATTGATATGCTAAACTCTTATTTATCAATTTCCATCTTTTAAAGCATTTTTGGCCTAACATGTCCTACTTTGTGACAGAAATGACAAGTTGGCACAAACTTTTTTGTATAAGACTGTGAGGCAACATGTTGTGGAGTAGGTTTGACAGTATTATTCACAAAATTAATTTTTCGATTTGGATTAGGTTTACCATCGAACTTACTCCCAATATAGCCAAGACCAAGTTTATCAGGATTTGAGGGATGAGCATTTAAAATTTCATCTAACCTGTTTGAAGGAAGAATCGTAGTGCGATTTAACTTACTGACTGATGCCTCTAACGTTGTTGCGACAGGAGAGTTGTCACACTTCAGGTTGAGGCAGGGTTCAGCATTTCTCATTGGAGGAGGATTTTTCTTGATCTGCCTTGTCTTATTGCAATCGTTGTTTCGCAATTGTCTCAGCAATTCTTTTAGATTGTCAATATCTTTCAAAGCAAAATCCTGTTTTACCTCCAGTACCTCATTTTCCAATTCAAGCTCATCGATTTTGGCCTTCAGGTTGACTTTAACTGCTTCATTCTCCTCTTCCAGTTCCTTTACTTTCTCCTTCAAACGCTTGTTTTCATCACCAACCTCATGACATTGCTTTAGAAGATCATCCAGTTGCTGTTGAATCATCTCAATGGAGCATTCTTCATCATCCTCTGAATCTTCTTCTCCTGTGGGCAAAAAAATTGTGTTTAAGTTTCTATGATTTTCGAGATTACGAGTAGCATACCTGAGGTGTGGCGGCTCAGTGCATGAGACATCATCCTGTGTTACTTTAGTGATCCTAAGGTGTGACGGCTCAGTGCATGTGATATCATTTTGTGTCGCACCAGTAACCCTGCATGTACCACAGAAGTCAATACTTGTTTCACATCACTTGCTTCACTGTCATCATCAGATTCAGAGTTATTGTCACTCCAGGTTGTGGCAAGTGATTTTCCTTGCTTCTTTAGAGTGTTTGCACATTCAGCTTGAATATGACCATAGCCGCGACATTCTCTACATCGAATCCCCTTCCTCACTTCTTGCTTATTTGTAGGACTTACGGGTTTTCTTTCAAAACTTGTAGGATGTCCATTCATATCCACGAGTTTTCCGAAGTTTTTAGCTATTAGAGACATGGATTTTGTTAGCTCGACTTCGAGTGCTGTCATGGGAACTGGGGGCACTGATGAAGTTGTAACAGCGACTGTTTGTAGAGCAATTTTTCTTTCTTTATCTATTTTGCTGATGTTCAACTTGTTCTCAAAGGTCTGCAAATTTCCCATCAGATCTTCAAGTCGCAATGAGTCCACATCACTTGCTTCCTCAATAGCTGTGACCTTGTATGCGAATCGGTCTGGCATTGATCTCAACACTTTACGAACAAGCTTGACTTCAGGATAGGTTTCACCAAGCCCATGAGCTTCATTCGCGATATCGCATAGTTTCGAATTAAAATCGCTTACGGTTTCATTCTCTTCCATTCGAAGATCCTCAAAGCGAGTAGCGAGCATCTGAAGTTTTGATAATCGAACAGAGGTTGTTCCCTCATAAGCTGTTTGTAATTTTTCCCATGCTTCTTTGGCACACTCACATGCTGAGATGATTTTGAATTGATTGATATCAACTCCATTGAATATGGCATTCAATGCTTTGGAATTCATATTTGCGGCAAACTGTTCAGCTTTGCTCCTGTCTTTTTCATGTTTCTCAGTTTGAATTCCTTTTTCATCTGTGGCAACAGGTCGTTTCCAGCCAGTCAGAACTGTGCGCCATGCATCTTCATCCATTGACTTGATGAACATCTTCATCTTGGTCTTCCAATAAGAGTAATTGGTTCCAGTAAGCATTGGTGGGCGAGTCGTGAAACCGCCTTCCATATGAGCATTCATAGTTCCTATGGAAGATAAATGGCAAATAAATCTAAGTCCTAATAGAAGTATTATAAGAATAGGACTCTAATAAATTCCAAAATAAATATGGAAAACAAATCTTTGCCAATCTTTTAATTCCAGAACTTGGCGGATTTCCTCGATCTTCAATAGCCGGAAATATGGCGCCAACACATATAAAATTATATCACGTTAAAAACCTAACCACATAAGAGCACTTTAGTTTTATCATGTCTGGTCAGGAGGGTCTCACTAATTCAGATTGAGATTTTTGGACTCTTTATAGTCAATTGGGTTTAATTTCAAATATTTTCTAAATGAGTGGTATTGCATATTACCCCTTTAAAATTTTAGTTTGGGAGTTAAAAACACTTAAATTAGATGATAAAGATTGGATTCGATGATAAATGGAAGATGCTCTTAGCATATACTATTTGTATTTTAGATAAAATGATTTATGATTCGATGCACGAACCATGAATCAAAATAATTATATAGTTTCTAATTATATTCTTCGTATCAAACGATCGAACGAGGTGTTAGAGAGTAGATTATTTCATGCATCTCAAGATTTTTATTTTCTTCATAAGACTTTTTGAAACAAGATTATGTTCTATTTTTTTGTAATTTCCAAAGTTAAACTCAAATGTAATAAGTCAAGAAAAAGACATTATTGTTTGTTAAACCAATACTATGCTAACAAAACTATAAAAAATACCTTTTTGTATATATTTTTTTAATATAAATTAATCGGCCTGTCACCATACAGATTAGATTAGAAGAATGCCCAAACGGCTAAGTCAAAACATTACGAAAATAAAAGAAAAAAATTACCCTAAGAAAAAAATTAGTAGTGTCAATTGTTTTTATTTATTATTTATTTATTTTAAAAAAATGGATGAGAAATAATAATCTGAGTATAAAGAATGAGAGAAATGTCTGTAAATCACGAGAGCGCCAGGTCATAGAACAACAGGCCGTCTCTCCTCCAAAAAAATTCAATCAGATCCATCCATCACCCTACCTACATTTCGTTAATCCCAATTTATTTTCCGCCATTGTTGCGCTTGTTTGATTCATCTCCACGTTGTTTTTTATCATTTTTTTCCCGGCGGAAGTTTGTTTGAATTAAAGTTTTTTTTTTTTTTTTTTTTGAAGATCTTTGACTCCCGATTTTGGTTTTTGACTCTCTGGATCAATGGCGAGCGAAGAGCTCGCGGAGATCGAAGGCCAGATTTCGGATATTTTTCGTGCTCTTTCGTAAGTTTTTTTTCCCCATTGTTGATTGTTTTTTTTCGTGAAAAGGATGAAGAGATGCGAATGTGTATATATGACATTTTGTTGAATGTTTATTCATAAATATGTATGTATGTGCGTGTGTATGTATATATCTACATATAAATGTACAGACGAAATCCTGAACCATTTTGAAGCCAAAAGTCAATGAAGTGGAATTATATAAATGTTGAATTTGTAAGCATTGTTGTGTTAATTATATTATTGATTTGTCTAATGAAGGAATGGATTCCAAAAATTGGAGAAGATTAAAGACTCCAGCAGGCAGAGCCGGCAGCTGGAGGAGCTCACGGACAAGATGCGTGAATGTAAGAGGTATTTGATTTCGTCAATGGATTTCGTTCTTGTTCATGAATGTGTGTGTGTGTGTGTGTTTTCTTTCTTAAAATATATTAAATGATGAATTATCGATGCTATAATAGTTAATAGATAACAACTTTAGGTTCTCTCGCCATGGGGGCTTGAATTGAGATACATTAGATGTGGCATTTTGAGGGAGTCGTTATTTATTTCATTTGAATTGAGATACATTGTCCGTAAAACAATTACCATTTTCTGTCGCATTGGTACATGCAACACCCATTATATTTGCTACAAAATTATTGGAAAACTTGGATATCGAATCAAAGACATTTGAAACAAGAAGTTCTTTCGGTTTTGTGATTGGACGTTGAAAAAAGGACGCAAATGATTAATTGGGAAGGTCTTGGAACTCTCATGGTTTAAGACTTTTGTTGAGCCTTTTAGTAAATAGTGTAACTTATTACTCTTTGGTTTCTTAATATCTTCGTTTATGTAGTGATTTTGCATATGGGATTTGATGTTGATTTGACCCTTTGAAGAATGAGGATACAACGAGAGTGTTGTAATTGGAGAAGTAACAACATTGAGATGACAAGACTAGTTATGGATAACTTGACCTTGAAATGTTAATTTCGAGACAAATTTATTGTTGGAGATGTTCCTATGAGATGATTTATGGAACTCGAAAGATGTTATACCTTGATTAAAAATAAGGTCTCAAAATGTTTGGTCAAATAACATTGTGGATTTTGTAATGAAAATTTTGTTCCTTGAATTGTAAAAAAACAGAAGGGATGTGTTGAGATCTTAAGATAATTAGGAACTTTTTACTTTTTCTAAAGGTTCTCATAAAACATAACATCTTGTTTTTTGAGCTTATACCTCGTATATGTTTCAAGGAGCTTAAAATATCCAAACACCCTCTTAATTTCATTTATCTACATCATAATATGCCATCGAACCAAAAACATTCCCCCCCTCTCTCTCACACACGCACTCTCTCTCTCTCTCTCACACACACACACACTCTCTCTCTCTCTCACACACAAGCCATCATGCCCACACCCTCAAACCCCACACATCCAAACCTGTTTGTGAATGCACATAGGTGTAGTAGACCCATGAATTTCAAATGTATAAGATGATCTTTCTCCGTGATCCAGGCTTATTAAGGAGTTTGACCGGGAGTTAAAGGACTCAGACTACAAAAATGACCCCAACACAAACAAGATGCTTACTGAGAAAAAGCAATCGATGGTCAGCTCTAATTCATGCAGTCTGTTTTTTTCTTGATGCTACAAAATAATTATTATATATTTTTTTAATATACGGATTTCTCTGCCTTTTTATGCAGATCAAAGAATTGAATTCATATGTTGCTCTCAAGAAACAGTAAGTTCACCTGGAATCATCAGTATTAGAGTGTGTAGCATTTAATATGCTATGCAACTGGTTGTTGTAGTTTCACTACATCAGTTTATTTGTTCTCCTCTACCCTTGGTTAAGTAATGTCTCAGTGCTGTTTTTTATTTTTATTTGTAGTAAATAAAATCATTTTTCTGAAAGCTTCAACTTGAAAATGCCTGTTTGCATATCAGCAACAATCGCACCGGACTTTGTTTTAATAATTACACCTTTCGGGATCCATATTTTCTATTTTAGCAGTAACTACTGATATTTCTGACACTATCTATACCTTGGTGTAATTAACTGATGTTTTCCGTCCTGCTTTCCCACTATCTTCCTTCTAAATTATGTTTGTTATGTTTATCAGCATTATTTGAAAATTAATGTATGACATTAAATCTTGAAACTTTATTATTTGTAGTTCAACAAATTTCTTGGTGATGCTGTAGGTATGCAAGTAATCTTGAAAACAAGCGAGTTGATCTCTTCGAGGGTCCAGGTGAAGGATTTGTAGAAGAGAATGTGCTACTTGCTTCCGGTATGCTTTTTTTTATCATTCTAAAGAAAAGAAGACTGATGACCCTATAACGTTTGTTAGCACAGCAATTGGCAATATATTATAGTTTTAAGGAGTGCCTAATTTCCCTGGTACCGATTTAGAGGAATCGATATTACAGTTATTTGCATTCACCTTTTGTACCCATAATAATAATGGCATAAAGAAAGGGGTAGTAGAAATAATAGATCAGCAGTGAGAAAAAAAGATTCAAGCTAATTCAGAGGTAGACTGACTTAATGAATTATGCTTCTCTAGGATGACAATTAATATACTTATCTCAAGCTGCTGATCTAACTGTGTGAGGTTAAAAAATGTAGGGAAGTTCTGGTTTCTTTCGAAGAATCATACATTTTCCACCAATTAAAACAAATATATGACAAATTTCCTGATACATTTCTCTCCAAAACAATATATTTCCTTCAAAATATTTGAAGAAATATCCTAATAATTATACAAAGAACCATATTCACAAAATTAAAGCAAATGTAGTTCACATTTCTCAATGCATTTTTCTGAAAGGTCATATGAAAAGTTTCCTGCAGCAATTTAAAAGTGGAAAAGAAAAAAATAACTCTGAATCTGAGGGGGGAGGTCCCTTGATTTTACTATGTAAGATGGGGTCCAAGTGAAATTAACCTTTGATAGTAAAACTGACATTTCACCCATTCCGTTTGGGTAATTTTTCATCTAAAAGAGGAGGTCCTTGTAATTCCTCGTAGATAGGGGTAAGAGGGGTCCAGGTAAAATTAACCTTTAGTTTTAAATATATAGAGAAACTTGACATTTTTGGCCGAAACAATTCGATGTACTTTTTGTATTCGATTTCAATCCTTTTTGTGCAAATGCGATACTGCAGATATGAATAATCAGCAGCTAATGGATCATGGAAATCAGATGATGGATGAAACGGATCAAGCTATTGACCGAGCAAAAAAGGTGTGTTCTTTAGTGCATTTCAAGATTCTTGTTACGTAAGAGAATTTATCAGTTCTCTCGCTGGGTGATATCTGTTATCATCAATTCATGTTTTCAGTTTTAGTGATAAAATTAATAAAAGCCAAATTCTCCCTTTCAGTTTTATTTCTTCATTGTTTAGTTGTTTTGTCTATGATTCTTAGGAGGCTGAAATGATTCTTATAAGGAGGGTTTGACTGTTTTCAAAAGCTATAAGGCTAGCAACTTTATTTGCATCTGGTCTATCTTTTTACGAGTTTTAAAAGAAGAAAGAAAACCCTTTTGTCTACTTTTGTTGATTGTGGTCTCTTGAATTAGTACACAAACGTACCCATTGCTTACATCTAGACGAGTCTAAAGGATGTATACTGGTAAAAGAGGTGTGAGAAAATTGTTTTAGAAGTGCTATTTGTTACTCCAAAATATGATAATTGATTCTTTGTTTATTATTATAGGTTGTCCATGAGACTATTGATGTTGGGACCGAAACAGCTGCAGCTCTCAAAGCACAGGTGTGTGTTCTGGCTTACCCGAGATTTCTTAGTTTGAGATATGACAATAATTTATCCAATTTTTCGTGTATTTTTCAGACAGAACAAATGAGCAGAATTGTTAATGAGCTGGACTCCATTCATTTTTCAATAAAGAAGGCAACAAAGCTAGTAAAGGAAATCGGTAGGCAGGTCAATATCTACAATACACATCCCTTCTTCTTTTCATATATGTCTAATTTTGGTCATCGTACTTACTTTGGTTTCTTAATTAGGTTGCAACTGATCGGTGTATCATGGCGCTCCTTTTCCTTATTGTTATTGGTGTTGTAACTATCATTATAGTGAAGGTCAGACATACATCCGTTTGCACTAATTTTCTTATCTGGTTCCCGATTAAATTGCTGTCCTCATATTTCTCACCATATGCAACGCATTCTATAACCTATATTAGCAACTTACCATTTGAATTTTTCTTAGTCACCTATAGAAGTGGATTCTAGGGTAGGGGTGTGAACGAGCCGAGCTCGGCTGTTTTGGCCGGCTCGAGCTCATATAGGGTTTTTTTTTTTTTTTTTTTAATAATTATTTAATTTTTTATTAAAATCATTTAATTTTTTTATTAAAAAATATTTATAGTAAAATGAAAAAAAAAATATAAAATAAATAATGAACTCTATATATATATATATATATATATATATATATATATATATATATATATATATATATATAGCTCGTCCGAAGCTCGAACTCGTGACCTCAAACTCGTGAGCTCGAGTTCGATCCTTTATCGAGCCGCTCGTTTACCACCCCTATTCTAGGGTATATGCTAATCCAAATGTAGCTCAATCTATTAGTATTTCTTGATGAATTTAGTATATACTTGCATATTTGTAGTAGGCTTGCATATTAAGTTGGTATTTTGGCACTTCCGACAAGCTATACCTGGTTCATGTTAGGATGATTTTTAGTATATAGTAAAGTTGTATGTTCTGTTAGGCCTCGTTTGTTTGGAGAGATTAGCCATGAGTAACTAAATGAAAAAAAATGGACTTTATTTTGATGTTTGGTAAACCCAATAACTTCCCGCGTCGGGCCGGAAGTATTATGTTATCATGCCTTAGCATGCTTTTAGGAGGTTTTTTGTTTGAACTTCCAGGTTCCAATAAAACAATTGAACTTTTCATTAGATTATTTAATCTTATCTTGGCTAATCCTATCGTGGCAACCATACGCGGCCTTAGATGACAGTATTATTAGTGAGACACACATCCAAACCTTGATCACCTTGTATTCGGGAAAAGGTTTACTCCGAAGATGAAATACACAATGGCAGAAGTAATAAGGCACATGGAAATCAGAATAGAAGATTAAGGAGAGAAGATATGTGTTTCTTTGCTTTGTCGGCATGGAAAAATCAGATTGTTGCCATGCTTTTGTTAGAGAAATAGTTATCAAATAACTGTTTCAGTTCCCAACAATTTCGAACATTCAACCTAACCGAAGTAGAAAATAAATACTGTCTGGAAGGCAATGCAAGCTAATTTAAACTTTAATCGTTCCATCGCTAGTTCATAACCCCGTTTGGTTGAATTTTTCAGATAGTGAACCCACAAAACAAAGATATTCGAGATATACCAGGATTAGCTCCTCCAGCTCCCGCCCGGAAATTACTATGGATTTCTGATTGATGATCAACTTTGATGTTATTACACATTACCTGGCTTTGGTTAGTGCACTACTGGAGGCAATCGGAGTTAAACCAAAGACAAGGTTTGATCAACTAAAATTAATCGGTACGATTATGTGTATCCATATCACAATTATTTTTGTCAATTGGCAGCTACCATATTTTTTTTTTATTTTTTTTTAATCAAAATTAAATGGAACTGGGAATTTGTTTGTGTTAATTCCCCTGTAATTTTTCTAAAGATTAAATTAATTTGCATTTGGATGAGGAATATTTGATGTATATGCGGTTTGTATTCTTCTGAATCTATTGGTGTCTATGTACTTATATATTACCATTATTTCCAGATTCACTGCTCCCTTTTTCTTTTGGAAAAATGTCAACTTTCAAGCTGCCTTCACTTTAGACACAGAGTGTGCATGCATGCGTTGTAATTAGTTAAAAAAATTATACATCCAATTAAAATTTAAATGAACTTATCAAAAGCGATATTTCTGTTATGCGAAACATAGTTAAAAAAAAGGGACTATTAGTCATAACCCCCTCTAGTGTTTTTTTAATAATGGGAGATCCAGTCCCTTTTTCATTATTAGTGATAGATCCAACTTTTCTATTATTCCAAATTTACCCTCTCTCCTATTCACTTTCCATTACTATAATATATATATAGAGTAAAAAGCAGTTTGCCCCCTAAACTAAGTCCCGTTTTGCGCTTTACCCCCCAAACAATTTTTTTTTTGCACGGTTTTACCTAAACTCGATTTTTTGTTGCACAGTACCCTAAAAGTAGTATTTTCAGGTAACTTTCACCGGAATGTTGTGCACGTGCCATTCATGTGAGATTAACAGGGGCAAAATTGTATTTTCCTTTTTGTTTTTCTTTTTTTCTCCTTTTTTCTCTTTTTCTTTCTCAACTCACCTGTTCGAATAAAGTGAAACAGAGTGCTGAAACACAACGCATAATACAACCTCTTCTTTCATCAATTTTTTGAGATAAACATTTCCTTGCAACAAAATCCTCGAAAAACCTCCAATAATTGTCAGACACCTGTACTCAAATTGTGTTTTACTTACATCAGCATGTGGGTACTTTAGAGAGAGAGAGGAGAGAAGGGAAAAGGAAAAAAAATCAAGAAAATTACATAGATTAATGTTGCTGCTTCAATTGGAGAGTGCTACAACAAAACTAGTTTCTCTCACATCATCATCGTCAAAAGCTGTTCTTCCCCGATTTGCGAGATCGAGAAATGGACGCGAATTCATAATACACCCACTTTTGGCTACAAATAATATTATTTTCCGGCACCGAATATGCGTCGGAATCACACCGTCTTGTTGGAGGAATAAAAAATAATCAAAAGGTCGATTCTCAACGTCGTTGCCTGTACAACAATCTTGAGAGAAATCCACAAGATTTACTCGCTTCTCTCCCTATGACAATTTGGGTAATAATATCTATAGGAAGAATAGAATTGAAACCCCCATTGTGTTATGGGTTGATTACATGGAATATATATAGAGAAATAATGCAAGGTAATAGAGTTTGACTAGGTAACTAAATCCTAACTAATCTAGGTAATCGAATCATAATAGAATCCTAATATTAGGATAATTCTATAATATAATATTCACTAACACGCCCCCGCAGTCGAAACGTGACGAACGTGAAGACTGGACAATCACTTGCTAGCACGCTCCCGCAGTCGGAACGAATAAACTTCAAAACGAGTAAACTTCAAACGTGAAGACTGGAGACTGGAAACTTCAAACGCGAAGACTGGACAGTAATCGCGAAACACATCGCTAGAGAATTCCTCTGTAGAAATATCTGTCCAATTGATAAAAAAATATAATAATAATAACGGGTGAGAGAAAAATAAGAATATTTTTTTTTTTTTTTTTTTTTTTTTTTTTTTTAATCGAGATAGAGAGAAGAGATGAGAGAGGGGTCGCCGGCCATGGAGAAGAAGAGAGGCAGCGGCTAGGTTTTAGGCCATGGAGAAGAAGAAGAAGAAGAAAAAGATAGAGAAAATACACCACCGAGAGAGGGAGAAAATTCGGTTTGGTGGTCGCCGGCCATTGAGAAGAAGAGAAGCAGCGGCTAGGTTTTAGGCCATAAAGAAGAAGAAGAAGATAGAAAAAGATAGAGAAGCACCACCGGGGGAGGGAGAAAATTCGGGTGGTGTTCATAAAAAGATAGATAGAAAAGAAAAAGATAAATATTAGAGTACCACCACCGGGGGAGGGAGAAAATTGGGTGGTCACCGCCATGGAGAAGAAAGGCGGCTAGGTTTTCACCGCCATGGAGAAGAAAGACGGCTAGGTTAAAAAATCTAAACCTGGTGCTCTGATACCATATAGGAAGAATAGAGATTTGAGAAAGGAGAGAAATAATACGTACTAGAAAACCCCCATTGTGTTATGGGTTGATTACATGGAATATATATAGAGAAATAATGCAAGGTAATAGAGTTTGACTAGTTAACTAAATCCTAACTAATCTAGGTAATCGAATCATAATAGAATCCTAATATTAGGATAATTCTATAATATAATATTCACTAACAATATCTTGCTACGATAGGTGATGAAATGGTGGGGATAAAGAAGTTGGGGTAAGAATTTTCTTACCGCGATAACTGATGAAAGGATGGGGAAGAAGAATAATGAGGGGAAAAAGAACAGGAGAATTTCAATGAATTTTATAGAGAAAGGCACGCAAATAACAAAGGGAAAAAAGAAAAAAAGAAAAAAGAAAAAAGAAAAAAGAAACAGAAAAATAGGCAGAAAAGATGGAAAAAAAAGAGAGAAAATTAAACCTAGTCAAGAATGTAAGAGAAAGACAATATTACCCCTGTAAATCTCACGTGTGGTGCGCGTGCTCGGGTTTCCGGTGAATTTTGCCGGAAAATGGCAATTTTTAGGTATTGTGCAACAAAATAGCGAGTTTAGGTAAAAACGTGCAAATTTTTTTTGTTTGGGGGGCAAAGTGCAAAACGAGCCTTACTTTAGGGGGCAAACTGCTTTTTACTCATATATATATATTAATTATAATATTCATTTATTTATTTTAAAAAATAATTATTTTTAAAAAAACTGTTTTTTTAAATATATTATTTTCCATATTTTTTTAATTCTTTTTTTATAATTTTAATTTTTTTCATTGGTTTTTCAAATCGACTATTAATTCCGAAAACAACTATTTTTCTTTGAAATCAACTATAATTTTTTTGGCTCAATTTTCTTCGTAATCAACTATAAAATTACTAAAACAACTATTTTTTTGTTTCTTTATTTCCCGAAGCAACTACAAGAAACTTGTAAAACGACTACAAAAATTAGTGGTTTACAAGAAACTTGTAAAACGACTACAAAAAGTAGTGGTTTTCAATAGCAGGTGTACCAAATAAAATCAACTACAAATTAATAATCTCGATCATATATAAAAAAATCAAAATCAACTACAAAATTGTCGAAATCAACTATAAAATTATTGAAATCAACTATAAAAATCGAAAACAACTATAATTTATCTAAATCAACCACAAAATAAAAAACCCTCATTTCAGAGAGAGTTGACTACAGGCTTCGTGAAATCAAACGATGCCGTTTCGAAGAGCTTTTGTTAGTGTGCTATGGATGTCAGGGTTCCCGCGCCGCGTCTCAGCCGCTCCACATCTTCGACCTACCAATCACTCTCAAGTGGAGCAAGGACAAAAACCTTCTGGTGTCATCCGCCCATTACCAATCCACCACATCAGATCGCCGCCGAGGAAGCCTAAAACATTGTTCCATACCTCCCTCTTTGAGATGTTGTCGGGCAGTGTAATCTCCGCCGTTGTCGCGCCGCCAATCCTCGTCTAGGGAGATGGGGATATCGAGAAGATGGTGGGGAGCAATGGCAATTGAGAGGCGCTGGGCTGAGATGGGGTTCGATGGCAGGGAAGAGAAAGGAAGAGAAGCGAGATGGCAGAGGAGAGAAGCGAGAGAGGTGACGGCTAGTGGAATAAAAATGAAGAATGAATTAGAGAAATAGGGTTTGGTGTTTTTATATAGTAATTTAAGGGTAATATAGACATACCATATAAAATTTGGATTTATGCTAAATTAAAATATAAATATGGGGGGTTCTCACTAATATGCAAAATGAGGGTATATCCATCCTAATATAATCAAATGTTTTAGGGGGGTTTCACTAATTATCCCTAAAAAAAATTATACATTCAATAAAATTTTAAATGAATTTACGAAAAGAGCTATACGATACCAATTGTTGGAAAACAAACTCCAGGAGCTAGTGATATATATTCACAAAAGATTTATTTAAAATTTTGTAAGCATGCAATTTAATTCTTGATGTGTTGATGACGGGATAAAATTCATTCTAGAACTTACATACATCACTCGGATACGATGCTAACGTCGTTTTCAAAATAATTCACGAACTGAAAGAACTCGGAAAAGAATACATGCATATTTCTGACATTAATATTCCGATGAATTTGGATTCCAATTTTCACAGAATTTTGGTTTCCAAATTCGATTGATTTATCAGGGTTTGCGATGGGGCAAACTTTTAGCAGAAGAAATTGTGTTATTAATTAGCATGATTATATATATATATATAACTACGTACTCTATTATGCAGTTGTTGATCGATCTCCAATTCGCAAAATTGAAGTGGATCGGTATCCACCAATGACTGTGATAATATTCGAGTCACTGTGAGGAAATTGGAGAACCAGTAGCTATCTATCCTTTTTTTTTTTTTTTAAAAAAGAAAAACAAAAAAAAAAGGAAAAAATAATTAAATAAATGACTTTAAGCTTAACGGAAATGTGCATGCATCTGACATTGGGTCCTCTTGAAGGATTCCTGTACCACGTTTAGGCTGGTACTCATTAGGACCAATGACAGCTAAATGCGGGTCAATAACTTTCATAATACAACGAAACACGAAAATATTCATCCACGTAATTATATCTCTCCTTGCTTGATTTGAATAGCACCCAATTGCAACATGAGCGCGTGGGCCTGAAACATATATCATTCTACGCAAAAATATGTCATAATTAATTAATAGGCTCGTTTGGTTGTCAATATATATAAGCTAAGATTAACTAAATAGTAGGACTTCATTTGATGTTGGGTATCCTCA